TATTTCTTTTTGTTTGACAAATTCCGCTTTTCTCTGATAGTTTAAGTATTATATCTGTTAGTTTTAAGAAGGTGTTTCTTAGAAAATAATTAACTGGCTAAAAGCTAAAGCCTGAACACTAAACCCAATAGAAAACAAAGAAATATTTATATTATAGGTACTACGATCGGGACAAGGACAATGTATTAAAAGTAGAAGAATTTAAGAATCTAATACTCGACTTGAGAAAATCGAAAAAATTGGCAGTTGATCCTCAAAGTGTAACTAAGGAAACCCAGGATACTTACAAGTCTTTAGGACTGCAAGAAAGTCAAGGATTAGCCATGAACGATTTTTTGAGAGCGGTGTGCGACTTGAAAATTAGGGGAACATCCCATATTTTCAGATCTAACGTCAGTATTTCGATTTATTTGAAAGATGTAAAGTAAGCATCAGCATTAATTATTCTAACCAATGTTTAATACTATTGACATCTTTAATACTTCCTTATACATATATCCTCTATACAGAGTGGCGCCTTTATACGACGCGGAGGCTCCAAGGAGAACGGTAACTTATATCCAAATTAAATTTTTGGAGCCATATGTAGGTTATTTGAAAGTATTTTATAAAAATATATAGAGTTCTACAGGGTGTTCCCAAGAAAAGGTACGAATCAAAGTTGGATATTTTATAATGGAACACCGTATACCGTGCTGGCAACTGTTACTTTTGGGTTGGTATTTACATGCGTGGATGTAAATCGCATAGGAATCTTATTAAGTCGGAGTGAGAGAAATGCAACGGTGTGTTGTTGGAGCGTTGCCGGTACGTCTTTCCCTGTCAAGTAAAGTAAAATCACGATCGCAAACCGCTTATTTTGAAAAAACTTTTTTTTCGAAAAGATAACTAGATAAAATCATTAGATATGTTTCTGAGCATATGAAATAGAATTATAAGGGCATCGTTAAAGTGTCCATTTTTCATAACGAGAAAACATGAGTAATTACGATAATTTAAAAACTCAACTTTTTAACACGTAACACGCCATAACTTAAGAACCACTTTTGATATTGAAACTTTTTTTTTATTTTGAAGACCGGTATTTTCACATACTGTCTGCGAAGAAAGTATAGCAGATATCTTAAGAAATTTTTTGAACAAAACTACAATTATTTCTAAATTATTTCTAATAGATTTCAAGATATCGATTTTTGAATTGATTGAATTGATTGAATGCGCGACCACTGTCGAACACCAACTAAATTCCATTTGTTTTTACCAAAAATGGAAGTGTTTCTAACTTGCACTTAAAATTTTTCAAGCTATAGTGAAAATTACAAAGACTCGACTCGTTAATAAATAAACAAATAAAAAATCACGAGACGTAATTAAATCGTGAAGCTGAACGCATAATGTACACCTTTCCCTAGAACTTTAAGTACCGACAGAGGTACTGATTGGGTCGAGAAGTCGACTGCGACAAATCGGATATATCCCCTACCACGTCTCTTAGCAATGTGCATAGTTTCTCGGTTTATTACATACGTTTGGCAACGTGTTTACTCTTCTCTCTTTGTTCAGTACGTTATAAACGCATTGTACTCTTCTAACATACAGAAATCTGAACCCAAGACTAACCTTTGCCAGCCCTTAGTATATTAATTGATTTTCGGATTCTAGGAAAAAAATAAAGTTGAGTTTTATTAGAGAAGCATATGCCCAAAATTTAAGGATTTTCACATATTTCACATTTTGTGAAAATGAGAAATAAACTTTAAATTTTACTAACTGCTACTAAAATTTTAACTTACCTTGTATAGCCTGTATGCTAAACCAAATTAAAAAAAAAGTTATACATGGTGAGACAAAATTAATAATGAAGATTGGCCACTTTTAAAAGAAAGTTACTCCTTTATTTTAAATGGAACACTCAGTATATTATTTTGATAATTAGTGGAGAATTTATATATCTTCAAAATATTATTAAGGTTGCCTACCTCCCAGACAAAGATTTTCTTAGATATTTTTATTTATATGATATTGCATCAGTTTGATGTTAATATTTGACACAATCTAGGTAATGTGATATACTTTTTGTTAATTTAACAAAAACTAAAGGATGTAAGAGTAAACTACTAAACGGTAATAAAAAGATACAAGTTTAAAACATATTTTAATTATTACAGAATTAAACCTATAGATATAAACGTATAATTATGTGATAAAAATTAGCTGGATGAAATCAAATGCTCAAAATGCTTCCTTTCCTGTTCATTTCATAAAATGATTCTCTTTTCAAAAGATCGTTTTATATTAAAAGGTAAATGTGGAGTTCTTGTTCTTGTTTGTTTCTTGTATATTAAAAGGCAAATAGTTGGTTGGGTTTTGTAAATACTGTCTTTAAAATTTTTGATAAAAAAAAATCCAGCCTATATAGATAAACAGGAGCATTTAAGTATTCTATTAATTGGCGAATGTACACTGCGGTTACCAACTGATAGAATCATAGCCACCGCGTCGCATGAGAGGCGCCACCCTGTATGAATTAAAAAGAAAATGAGAAAAGAGTTTTGTTAAATACACAAAATAAAAAGTAACATATACATATATTTAGTAAGTAAAAAAATACAATTCTTGTTTCTAAAAAATATAGCAAATATGGATTTTTTCCCGTGTTTGCTCTTTTTATTTTGTTTATATGTTAATATTTTCGAGAGAGATTCCAGTTTAATATCGGGATTTTGGCGATAAATATACACCGGGATCGGTTTGGAAACCCTGATCTACACTACTTCATAAAAGTTTTTATTAGAGTGAAAACATTTAGCACTAAACAACAAGTGAACGATCAAAATATTTTTTAATATTGGTTTGGAAATTAAGTTAAAGTTGGTTGTACAAAGTGTCCCAAGAAATCATCATCATCATCACTCAACCAGCCTGAAGTGTCCACTGCTGGACGTAGGCCTCCCTCAATCTTTCCACTCTTCTCGGTCACCCACTTGGATCCAGTTCCCCTACGTCTCTTAAAGTCATCTGACCATCTTGTCGGAGGTCTGCCTCTGTTCTAAAGGAAGCATCCTGTCTTAGCCGCCATTCTGAAGTAGTTTGTTCCATCCTATCATCCTTCTTCTGCAAATATGCCCAGCCCAGTTCCTTTTGAGTTTTAAGCAGATATATAGCATCTGTTAAATTGTACGCTTTATTTATAACTATACTGAGTATCTTGTCTCTTAGAGATATACCAAACATTGCTCTTTCCACCAGCTCGTTAGACTACACGGATTTTCTATGGACTTTTTCGTCAGTGTAAATGTCTCTGCGCCATATGTAAGTACTGGCATAACGCACTGATGGAACACCTTCCTCTTTAAGCACATTCGTAGATCTGATTTTTAACACATATCTTGGTTGCCGAATGCCATATTAGTCCTATTCTTCTTTGTATCTCGTGCGTGTCCCAGAAGCAGTGCAAGTATTTAGCGGGTATAGTTCAACCCCCAGAAACACACACCTATGAGGTTTTTTCACGAAATGTTTTTGGAAATTTAAATTTTTTTAAAATTTTTTTGAATTTTAGTTAAAAACATAATTCTTGATAATATGGCAACATAGGTAGTAGATTAAATTTACAAGAAGAAAATCGAGAAAAGATCAGTGGTTCTCAAAATTTGAGCAAAAATCTTTTTTTTTTGTAAAATTTTCAAAGTAAAATAACTTTTGTTATTTTGGACATTGAAAAACGATATGTTTCTTTTATCGAGATACCACCCCTTAAAATACTTGCACTTATTTCTGGGACACCTGTATAATTTGGTTTGGAGTGAAGATCGCTGTCATTTCATACGTAAAATCTGTGTAAAATTATATAGCGAATGTCGTCAATCGTCGTTCTAAGCCGATTTAACGCCCTTTTTCGATCATACAGTATGTTTTTGTTTAGTGAAAGAAGTCCGAGCATTATAGGCACCTGTTACAAAGGCAAGTCCAGTTTATGGAGCCCCAATTGAAAATCCAAGAGGAAAAATGACAATAAAAAATCCCGATTATGAAATTGCACTTCATACAGTAAAAATACAAAGAAGCGGTCAAGCAATTAACATCGAAGAGATGAAAGAAGTGAGTACCTTAACCGGCGTCAAGTTTTATTTAAATCCGTGTATTCGTATACCGTGCTGGCAACTCTTACTTTTGTGTCGGTATTTACACGTGTGGAAGTAAATTGCATAGGGATTTTATTAAGTCGGAGTGAGAGAAATGCGACGGTATGCCGTTACGGCGTTGCCACATTTCGCCGGTACGCCTTTCCCTATCAAGTAAAGTAAAATCACGATCGCAAACCGCTTATTTTTAAAAGACTTTGTTCGAAAAGATCTTCTTCTTTCAGTGCCTATCCTCTATGGCTGTTGGCAATCATGTTGGTCCTTATAAACCTATTGACAGCCGCCCTGAATAAATGTACGGTCGTCATTAACAATAACTAGATAAAATCATTAGATATGTTTCTGAGTATCTGAAATGGAATTAGGATATAGTTAGGGTGCCCATTCTTTTATAACGAGAAAACATACCATAACCTAAGAACCACTTTAGATATTGAAACTTTTTTTTTATTTTCAAGATCGGATCTTTTACAATATGTTTAAATAAGCAAAATTCGATAAGTTTACATTCAAAATTTTTAAAAAACAACTCCATTTACTTTTACAATACCAGCAATCGTGTAATTTTTTTATTTATAAAGATTTTCACATACTGTCTGCGAAGAAAATATTGCAGAAATATTAAGAAAGATTTTGAAAAAACTACAATTAATTATTTCTAATAGATTTCGAAATACCGATTTTTGAATTCAGAGTTCTAATAGCGCGACCACTGTCGAACACCAACCCAATTCCTCTTATTTTTACCAAAAATGCAAGTGTTTCTAACTTGTACTTAAAATTTTTTAAGCTATAGGGAAAACTATAACGACTCGTTAATAAATCTACATATATAAAATGCTAATGTTTATCTGTGTCGTCTCTAGTGAAATAACGACTTGCTCTAGAAATTGTTGCTTTTTTACTAAAAGATAACTAAGTGGCTCTTCTAAAAACTGTCGTCGCAGGATTTTTTGTTTTTTATTTAATTAAAAAAAATAAAAAGTATTTTTTTTCCTGACTTCAACTAGTAAACAAATAAAATATCACGAGACGTAATGAAATCGTGAAGCTGAACGCATGATGTACACCTTTCTCTAGGACTTTAAGTACTGACAAAAGTATAATTATTGATTGGGTCGACCAGTCGACTGCGACAAATCTACTATTTCCTCTTCCACGTCTCTTAGCAATATGCACAGTCTCTCGGTATATTTCATACGTTTGGCAACGTGTTTACTGTTCTCTCTTTGTTCAGTACGTTATAAACGCATTGTACTCTTCTGACATACGGAAATCTCGACCCAAGACTAACCTTTGCCAGTCCTTAATATACCGGTTGTTTACAATATTCTCCGAAGGTGGCACCACAGGCGGAGAATGCTCAATCTAAGACATTGTTTTTTACTGTGTAAATATTTGTTTAGATTCAAGAAGCTGTATCTGCCACAACTATAAAGCAACCGATGAACGAACAAACCAAACGGCTATCTATGGATATATTCAGCCAACGTTCCGTCACCAATGAAGTACTTAAAGGTCTTAGATACCTCACCACTATCAATAACGTTAAAGACAGCAAAACTTCTTACACCTGGGGCCAGTTAGATCCAAATATATTCGCCAGAAATCTGATCCAAGTGTGCAATCAAGTAAGGAGATCATGCGCAACGAAGCCAGGCTATTGGAGTTGAGTTCTCCGGTGTATATAATGGGTCAGTATTTAACCAAGTAGAAATGGCACACAGAGAAGTAAAATGTCTTAAACCGTACAAGAATGTGTTAATTTCTGCATTAAGTTTATTAGACTGAAGGGAACATCCACCTGATGACCGGTTTCTGGAATTTATTCCCATCATCAAAAATAGCACACTTTTTGTGGTTTTTACTTCTTTATTCTATTTTTATTTTTATATAGAACTTTTGCTTTGTTTTTAGCTTCATCTACGGTTAAGTATTTAACATTCCTATTTTGTTATATTATCAAAATAAAGATAACTATAATGTCTAAAGAATATCGCACTCTTTGTCGTGGTTCCTTTTATTTTTTCTTACTTGATCACAAAATTTTTAGAAATCTTAACATAAAAATAGAACTTTGTGACGAAGTTGTTATGTCATCTTTACTTAACATTTTTTATTAAGCAACATTCTTAGTAACATTTTAGCGAACTAACACACATATTACGAATCTTGGTCCACACACAAATTCCATTCGCTAGAATGTTACCCAACTTGCTCCCTAGTGAGTGAATAAAATATGGTTTGTTAAGCAATTATTTTTTTTAATAAAAATAAAACTTACTAAAATCAGTTGGGTTTTAGCTATTAAAATAATGTTTTTTGGTAAATGACAGTAAGTTAAAAAAAATTGTTTAGATATAAAAAATATTAATTTTATTTTATATATATTACTTTTGTTTACTGAAGTTACTTTTCAATAATGAAGTATATTTGTACTTTCTTCTAAATAACATATTATTCAAAAAATGTCACAATTGACAGATGTATGATTCGCATTTACTTTTATTTCGTACTTACATAAATCTCTTTTGATCATCCATAGTTTCTGTATTCAGATTAGTAAACAAAAAAATCATTTATTCTTAAAACATCAAAACAGTAACAAACAGATTAGGTTTACTGTTAGAAGACTGTGCTATTCTCAATGCTGTTTCTTTTAATTGTTTCTTTTGACTTTTGTATTTAGGGGTGCGTGTTTTAGTGGTGTCATTATATTATATTTAATCATTTTTTTTTACTTATATAATACATCCAATATAATTATTGTTATATATATTAATCGGTTTAAAACGTTCTACGTCTTCCAATGCCATCTCTCCATGCCTGTCTGTCTCTCCATGCACCGTCTTCGAGAGCTCTTTCCTCCATAAACGTGTCAATCACTTCCTTCCAACTTCTCGGTCTACCCGGTTTTCTCCTTCCTGCAGGTTGCCAGTTTATGATTTGCTTTGGGATTCTTCTTTCTGCCATTCGTTGAACATGTCCGTACCTTATGAGTTGTCTGTTCTTTATCTCGTCACTATTGTATGTTTAACCATATTCTCTCTTATGCGTTCATTAGTCATTTGTTCTGAGTCTTGATTTGCCTGCTGCTCTCCTCCAAAAAATCCATCTCTATATCTTCCAGCATTCGTTTTGTTGTTTCCTTAATTGGCTACACTTTACAGCTGTACTGGGTTATACTCTTGATGATGGTATTATGCTAGTCTTTTTTGTTCCTGTTGTTTATGCTTCTATCCCACAGTATCCCATTTAATACCGTGATAGCATACCTTCCAAGTTGGTTTTGTTCTTTAATTGCTGTATCCAACAGGCCATCATTTGTGATTTCTATACCCAAATATTTGTATTTTTTATCTTCTAGTATTAGGTCTTATTGTTCTCCTCCGATACCCATATATTCTGTTTTGTTATTAATTTCGAGTCCCCATTTCTGATATTCTTCTACGAGTATAAACTTACGTGTCATATAATTTATGTCATCGTAATCTTGTGCTATGAGCACCTGATCGTCCGCGAAGCACAGTGTGTAAAAGCATGTTATCCCCTTATGGGTACTCTATTTCTACATTTTTACTTACAATCTTTGAGAACTTGTTCGAGATAGATCTTAGTGAACAGTGTTGGTGAAATACAGTACCCTTGTTTGAGACCTTTGGTTCCATTAAATCCTGTAGTTAACTTTTGCCGACTTTTATTCTAGTTTTTTGTTTGTTTAGGCATATAATGATTTCACTGCTTTTGTTAGCTCCACGTTTATATTGTTTTTTTTCATAGCTTCCAAAAAAAAGTCTCACAAGTATAATTTATTGTTTTAAAATATTTACTGTATTCAAAATATTTACTGTATTCAAAGCATTCTAGATATTTCGTCAATTTAGAGAGTTATATATTTAAACCCCTGAATTATAAATTTTCTCTCAAAATATATAAATTTTTTAATGAAGTAGAATAGTAAATATAATTTTATGTAAATATACTTTTGTGTAATATCTAATAAATATATAAATTTTTAATGAAGTAGAGCCGTAAATATAATTTTATGTAAATACTTTTTTCAGTAGCCAATATCTAATAATATAGATACGTATGAAGGCAGGCAGTATTTACTTGTTATATTTTCCTTTTGTCTCCTTATTGATGAAAAGCGGTATTTGTCGTTCCGTCTTCAGTCGTCATAAATTGTAATGTTTATATTACTTTAGTTCAATCTAATGTTGTATGCAAAAGCGGAAGTTTGTAACAAATGGAAACAGTTAAGCTTTGTCGAAGATGAATCACATAATATGTACTAGAAAGTATTGACAAAAGTGAAGAGTTTTCCAAAATTGGAACATTTATTAGATGCAACATATTTATCTTTAAGCGATGTATAGTTATAGTTCATATCAAATAAACTTTTAGTTATGTGATTAAGCTTGATCGGCACAGCGTTGCCCACTTTTGCATATATTTCTTTTTAATCGCAATATTTTTAGCAAACAAAAATAAATTAATTATAAATATATAAACAGTTATTATTTACATCAACATAACTTACCTTCTTAACAGCACTTAAAGGGACATAAAGGGCCATTACTACCAACCGCTTTCCCGCTCCAGAGATATTCTAATAAAGTCGCGATGGAGTTTTTTACTTGGCTATTAAGCTATCTTGTACACTCCTGCACTAAAAAGAGGTTATAAAAAGAAACAATATTCGACTGCAAGGTCTGTTAGTAAACATAACTCGTAATACAAAAACTAAAGTGTCAAAACGATTGCACAATGTCAGGAAATAAATGAACTAAATGTGGCAACTTGACATTTTTTATAGCAGAGAAAAAGTTTAATTGATATCAAAATATATCTCAACAGTGATAATGATCTTATATTGCTATTGGGGACGAAAGAATCACTTTTGTTAATCAAACATGTTTCCAGAACGAATTTTTCAATTTGGTCCGTATTTTCGACTTTTAGGGACAGCTAAGCGCCGTCCTGGTTACACTAATAACGTACTGCCTTATATTGGTGGCATATTAGTGTAATAGTTTCTTTTGCTAATATACACTCAGATGCAAATATAAAAAAACAGAGAAATTTTTGGTCAAATTTAAAAAGTGTTATATTTTTTGTTATTTAAATTTTCCTGAAAATAGAATTTTACGGTAAGATTAGCCCTATTTGTATGCATTTTTTTAACAAACTGTATATAGTTATATCAACTTTAATTTGTAAACTCAGTTTTTTTTAAACTTTTTAGTAATTGGCATATTATACAGGGTTAATCGAGGGGTTTATCCTAACTTTAAAACACCCTGTGCTATAATTTCGTATGTAAATTTTCCTAAAATAGGAATTTGGCCGGTAAGAGACCATGTCTCCCTGAGCATTTTTGTTTTTTGGATCATTTAATTGATCATTAAATTTTTGGATTAATGCATGCTTTGGTTAATTTTAAGAGCAGAAATGTACTGATCACGATCAATTTGCAATTTTTTCAGTTATCATTTACTTCTGATGTAATTTTTAAAAAGACGAGATGGTTTTGGTGACTATTATCATAACGTTATATTACGCTGCATCGGATACTCTGCTACTAAATTAAAAAAACGTTAAAGACTAACGATACAGTCCTGGTTTTAATAAACATTAATAACGATAACAGAACTAACGATATTAAGGAAAAGATCACCAATAATACTGAAGCATACAAACAGAAAAAGAAAATTGTAAAAAATACCTAATACTCTGTATTGCTTCCCCTGGCTGCTATAACTGCCTGTATACGTTTGTTCATACTGTCATTGAGGCTGCATATATCATATTGCGTTATGTTCATAGACAAACAAATAAAAAAGAGAGTAACAAATCTCATGGTAAAAGTGGAACCGCGTTCCCGTAGCGCAACTCAGAATAAGAATTTTGAAACCAATTAGCAGGACCATGGCAGGACGTACGTCTTTATTGCTATCTTTCTTTATTATGTGTGTGCTTTATATGAAAAAGAAAGAGATAGGTATAAAACGTATCATAAGACATTATCGCACAGTCCGGCTGGCGGAAAATTTAAATTAGGCATTATTAGTAGTATTCTTTCATTCTGAAACTGAAAATTTTCACTTAAACTGATTATACATATTCCCTATACTACGTAAAAGGGAACGTGGTGTAGGGAATAAATGGATTTAAGTGAAAATTTGCAGTTTCTTTCAGAAAATGAAAAGAATACTACTATTATAAGAAATTATAAAAAAAGCAAAAATTGTACTGTTTTATAAACATATTTATTTATACATAAAAATAAATAAACTTTTTATAATATAATAACAAAAAATAACAGTGTTTATTCCACCCACCAACCAATTTTAAATGCAGAAGAACTGACTGTTGCAGGCAACGATCGGCCAATTTTTTTAAAGGGCCTTAAAAATCTCATTTTCGAAAAGACTGCCTAATTGCAATAACAAAGTGAATATCCAAGCAAAAAAGACTTTACGAGAATCATGATCCTGAACCATTTCCATTCATCCTGAACCATTCAAGTCCAGTTTTAGTCCTAAAACAAAAGTAAAATAGGTATATTAATAAAGTTTCTGGTTACTATAAAGCAGCTATAAACTACCTACCCAAAAAATGAAAAAAATTAATTGTATTAATTTGTTATGTTAAGAGAGGTTCGAAATAT